AGAATGACAAGACAACTAGTTGCCTGTATTACTGTTACCCCTGCTCAGGAATTTTACAGCCAGATGTTCTCAATCTTAGCCTAACACTGGGGGAAAAATATTGTTCTGTTATCTTTTTACAAAGTTGCTTTTTATGACAACAGTTATTGCACTCCAGTCCTCAACTCACTCCAACAATCCCCAGGCTTCAGGTTTTCTGTTGTCTAGCTATACCTCAGAGATGCACAGCCGATTGGAAACAGAAGGCACGGTGATTTAAGTACAAGTCTGATCGTATATATCAGGGAATAAGCACACATTCAGAGCTGCATGCTTTTTAGTATCATGTCAGATAGACCAATTTCTGCATGCCGTTTTGGTAACAGGACAAGAAAGAACTCCCATGCCTACTTTCTGCATTTTTAAACAAATCTGTTTGACAGGAAAGCATAAAAAAAGAAAAACAAGTCTCACACAGCAAGAAGAAAAGAACTCATGTAGGAACATTTCATGTGCACTTTCATGGCTTGTGCTATCAGCAAGTCTGAGTGGAGACCACCAAGAACACACGGAGCCCTTCACATTCATCACAGTCAGACTGTGTTGCACTTGTGACATTGCTGCTTTTTTAAACGTTTGCCTATCAAAGCATTGCATTTACTTGGAATTTAATAAGATTTGAAAACAGCTCTAAATTAGGGACGATAATCCTATCATTTTGTCCTTTAGTATGTTTAGATGTTCCAGGCTGGATGTGGCTCTGGGCAGCCTGGTCTGGTGGTTGGTGACCCTGCACGCAGCAGGGGGGTTGAAAGTCGATGATCTTTGTGGTCCTTTTCAACCCAGGTCATTCTATGATTCTATGATATGACGATTCTATGGTTTATCTTGTTTAACACTGCTCTGGTGTAGGTTAAGGCTTTCAATCTCAACCTGCATAAAGAAATGGTGTTCAGATCCAGGCTTACAATTATCTCTGGATACTTAAGGCAGAGGAGAAAATAATGCAGCTGCAAGTTACGCGTGCTATACACTTCCCCTCTCTTTCCATTCACTTCTGCTTCTGTTCTAGTTGAGCATCACACAAGATATCTTCCATGCTACTGCTTCCCCAGAACCATTCCCAAATGCCTTGAACTCTTGCCTGCTATTACTGATATCACCTTTGATCTTGCTGTATTTCTGCTCCTCCAAGCATGATATGAAAGCAACATTCCTGTATTCTTTTACATTCAAAATCAGCTATATTTCAAAGTTTTGATGTCATCAGGACAACTTTATATCATCTCCAGTGAAATATATCTGCTCAGCAGATGTGAAACAGATCTTTTGTTTTACTACTCAGTTTAAAGCCAGCTACAGAAGTAATTCTATGAGATGGTGCTATGTAATGATGCACAGGTATTTGTCTGTCAAGTCCTAAAAAGCCATAATCTTGCAGTTGATCTTCTGTTTAAGGTAATCCAACAGTTTTTGGTACACACTGCTCTAGCAATATAAGGAAACTAAAAAGAGGGCTTTGTATTGACATTTTACCCCTGTAGTCATCTTAGTAACTTTCTAAATAGATTAATTTCTGAGGGTGAGGACAGCACCCCTGTAATCATCATATCCAAGGCATCCAGCATGAACAAGAAATCACAACTAAAGATTTTTGGTTTCCAGGAGCTGTTTTCTTGTTTAGATTTGTATTATTGAGTTTTATACTTTTTAAAAGCAAAGTCAGAGTGTCAGTTGGAGTACACCAATGAAGAAAAGCAAAGGGGAAGAGAAATTAGATCACAAGGAGTAAGGCAATACCAAGTTTCCAGATGTTATGTTAGACCAAATTCTCCAATCTGACTGTTAACTACTTCAAAAGATTCAAAATTCACCTTTAATTCTTTTTTAAAGTCAAAAGTAGGAAGATCTCATTTTAAACCAGAGAAAATGCAATATTTCTTTCATTTTCTCTGTAATAATCAGGCCATGAGGCCTGTCTTCCATTATTAGCTCTCTAGCTGTGTGAAATCCCTATGCAGATACATGTTAGTCATTGGTAAGGCAGCTGAAAGCAAACATAGTTTACAGGACCCAAGCGTCTTCTACACGAATCAGCCACTGCAGGAAGGTAAAAGTCAGCTTCAACCCGGGAGCATCACTGAACAGTGAAGCCCATGATCACAGTTGCTTGAACACACTTTCCACCAAATCCCAAACTCTTTATTTTAACTACCACTTTTCCCAGAAACTAAAGGGAAAATCACGAAATCAGTTGCCACAGCTTAGGCTCTCGTGGTATGAGAGTGTTTGGTATCAAGATGCACTTCTAAGTGTAGCACTTCTAACTGTTAGTACACTAAACTTGAGATGTCAGGAAAGGAGGTATTCTCAAGGTATTCTCAAGTGCCTGTCACTGTTTAATTAACTCAAGTTTAATTTATTCTTTTACACATGCCTCTCCAACTTCTGTGTCCAGATATTCCGTGTGCTGAAGTCTGAGTACCATTTCTCTCTATGACACTTACAAAGTCTCAGGATAAAAAAGTTATGATGAAGCCCCAGTGCATCATTGCTGCAAAGTTCATTTACATAAGTCTTATTACTGTTATTCCTCAGGTGTTAAAGCTTCATTGAAATAAAGCAGACACAGTAACAAAGGTATAACTGACAGTCTGTCATATTGACCGATGTGCTTTTTGATTCAACTTTATAAATATTTACTCTGCAATCCTTCAGAAGATCAAGTTAGAATGTAGTTCAAGTCCAAATCCGCATCTCATTATAATGCTAAAAGAATATTCCCTGTACATCACACATCCAAGCAGGAAGTTCGGGTAAATACTGAGCTTGTCCAGAGTACTGGGGAGCAATCAGGAACATAAAACATGCACTAGCAGCAGGGCAGTAGCACTGGGCACCGAAGCACTGTTATCTCAAGCTGAAGAATGGATTCCCTTGAGGAGCTTCTTTCATACCACAAATTGATCAGTGCTTCAGAGCCTCACGGCAGAAATACAAAATAACTCAGCTTTCTTAAAGGTAAAGCTAAAAAGAGAATTAGAGGCCTCTTCTTTCATCCCCCTCAGACCTGCAGCATTCCCAAACTGGGGTCTCTTCAGTTTGCAGTCAGTTTGGCTAGTTATATTTGGTTTTGGAGGCAAAGTTTCTCAAAGACACTAAGGAAAGAAACTCACCATAGAAACTACAAACTGAGCTCTTCCCACCACTATGGGTGTAGAGATTTCATCTTTCTTTTGCTCCATCTCCCATAAGCCTTAAACTTACTCCCAACTTGTACACACACAGGACTTAGCAAGGCATGGGGCTGAATCCAGCTGCACTTCTGCAGTATTGGAAGAAACTGATTCCCACTCTTACTCAGGAAAGTCAGTAGAGCCAAAAGCTCATGTCCCTCAGCACAGCATACAGAAGAACTGAACACAGTCTAAGACAGCACAGAGCAGGAACATCTGACCTTACATGCTCAGCGCAGACTAGCATTTTATGCATCATATAGCAACATCTAATAAAATGCCTCCCCACAGAGAGATGATTAAGCTACCTCAGGTTGTAAGTCCCAGAGGCTTTCACCTCTCTTCAACCTCTTGCCCAGCTTCTCACAGGGTAGAATGTAATTTAGCTCTCCGCTGAAAGTTCAGCAGTAAATGTAGTATTTGAGAAGCAGGATTTTTCGAAAACACTTTTCCAAATGAGAAAAGAATTTTAGAAGAAAAATGACAATCATGAAGCTACTAAGCATTCCCTGAACAATTCAGGAAAATACTATTTTCCACAGGACACAGTAAAAGCCCCACTAGACAAGTACTTTGTATTTCTCCTTCACAGTAATGAATATCACTCTCATCTCCAATAATGCTTAAAAGCCACTACTAAAAAGCATAACTTGTGATCAGCCAAAATCAAATTAAGGACCATTTCAGAAAGCGAAGCATAAATAAAATCTTAATTATAAATATAAGCATGATAAAATTGCCTCAGAACTGTGAAAGTGGCCTCCTCAGTAGGACAAGAACACACTTGTGAGATTTCAGGAGGAATGAAGATTTAAGTCTGGCAGAAAAACAGGCTAAAGAAGTGGAATACAAACAAGGACTGGATTCTTACAATATAGAAAAATGGACTTCTTGCATTATTTTACAAATCTAAAACTATTGTATATCTGACAACCATCCTGTGCTCACCCACCACAGCAGTACACTGTCATTATTTTGATAGCATGCTTTAATCTACACTGAAGTTTTAAAAAACGAGGTTAAAGCTAATTCAGAAATAGTTAACAGAGGAAAAATTACATGAGTTAGAATATCTGCACTCTAAGAGCCTAACACCATGCATAAAAGATGACTGGACCCTGAGGGAGCTGGATATTCACACACTGATCACAATATGATTCACTGAATGGTAAAACATTACTTACCATCTGCTAAAATATTAGGCTGGTTGCCTAGTTATAAGTATTCTAATTTTCTAACTATTAACCTCATTAATGACTGCTTAATTGTAGACATAGAGAAATGAACATATACACATATGGAAATATGAAACAAAAATTCCACAAAAAATGCAGAATTCGCTTTTTCAGACCAAGCGACCAACCCACTGAGTTCAAATTCCTCTTGTATCTGAATAGGCAACAAGGAACAATAAGAAAAATCCCTTCCTGGACCTTCTTAAATTTAGATTGTCACCTGAAGCATGAGATCACGCTCCTATCTAAGACACATTATGTTGATTTCATTGTATTATTCAACCTTCTTCAAAACCCAGTTTGGTTACTTGACTTCTTCAGGCAGTGAATTCTACAAAATACAAGCAGTTTGATACTAAATCAAATGACCTGATTAATTTTATAATTTCACTGGTACTACAAGGCAACGCAACAGTTTGTAAATGGGCAACAGAAAAAAATGCCTGCTCTTTTAAATAACCAAAGCCAACTCATTTCAGTTTTTCCTTTTAGAAAAAAAAATAATTGAGGAGTAAGTACCTTTAAAGCCCATCCCTTTTGTTACTCCTACCTCAATAATATACAAAACCACATTCTTGTAGAAGCAGTAGAGAATGCACTTGGTAACTCGATTGTAACTCCAAGCTCCATGGACCAACAACAGCTTCTCCAAGTAGGAAAACTGAAACAGAGAAAACAAGTTTATACACATATGAAGAACTGCTTAATAAAAAAAATTAGAGTGAATTCTCCCACATCAAAAAAGCCTCAGATCAGCTATGAAAACTGCTGAAGCGCAATATCTGAATATTTCAGCAGCACACATATATAAAATGTATGCCCTAACACTTAATATTTACTGAAAGTCTTTCCTGACAACAAAATCTAAGAAACACAAAGTATGTTGTCTTTAAGCAGCACAAAGCCTTCAATTAGTACCACTACCCTGGTAGTGAAATCTGACAAGGCTAACATTTGCCTTGTAGATTAAAAATAAATGTAAACTCTTAATTTCATGGTCAAAGATTTCTCTGTTTCAGGGCTTACAATACTCAGGAACATCTCTTTTTTCTGAGCAAAATTAATAATCTCATCACTAGAACTGTCGTAAGTTGAAATAAAATGTAAAAAAGAAGAAAGGAGATGCATGCAATCTTTTATAAAGCATGAACACTTACATTACCAGCCCACCAAATGTATGCAATCATGTTATAAGCCATTTTAGATGCTCTATATCAAGAAGGAGCCCAAAAAGAGAAGTAAATGAATGTAGGGATTGTAAAAATGGATACCTAGCAACACTGGTGGAAACCACACATGGTTTGTTGTTGTTTTTGTTTTTTTTTTAAATATAGAAAGTAGTCAACCAATGCAGCTTAGAAATGAGTAATATCTCGTCTTGGCTTTGTCAGTGAACTTTTTTAATGGCTTCAGCTCTCCTCTTTTGTCCAGCTATAGAGTGATCAAACTGGAAACTTCATTTACAGTTCAGCACGTGTGAACCTGAAGGGTTTTTGGACATAAAGGCAAGAACACTACTTGCTTTGCTTCCTTTTCAATGGAGAAACTTGATAGTAAAGACTGACTTCTTAAAAGCAGATTCCAGCTCAGTCATTTTAAAAACTTACTTGAGACTTTGAAATCTGCAGTAATGAATTAGAACTGTCATGAGAGAACTCTGCTCCTATGATTTACAGCACAGAAATCACTGAACCACAAATCCTCTAAGAACAACCTTTCTGACACGCGTCAGCAATGTGGATTTCTTAGGATATGCCCGCAAGAAAGGAGGAGAGAAAATAAAAGTGAAAGAAGCTTCGTGGTTCAGCCATAATCAGGACTGAAAGTAGGACACTTAGAAGGGAGCAGGTAATATATGAGTCACCTACTGCCTCAGTTAATCTGTGGCATTTTTGTAGCTTTATTCCTCAAAACTACATGACAAAACATCAGCAATGATGGGAAGATCCCCATCACATCCTGACAAGTGGCCCCCAACACCTCCTGCAGAGAACAGAGAGTTGGATGCACCCTAAAATATTCCCTCTCTGCTGAATCTGAAGAGTGACTGTCTCAGATGTGGCTCCTTCTGCAACTCCAGGTTGGACAAATCCTACCATTAACTGCTCTTTAACCTCTGTTGTCACAAAGATGAATCCACTCCATTGCACAGTGAGAGACATTAGTGACCTAAATATAACCAGTCCAAGCCTGTTTGCAGTGATAAGAAGTACTATTAAGATGTAGCAAGGCATTAAATTTTTGATGCTGATCGCCGGAACGATGTAAATGCACAACTACTGGCACACTTGAGTGACCATGGGTGATAGAGCCCTTCTGAGATACTGCATTTGTTTGGGCACTGCTACATGCATGGGTTTTTATTGGAGATATGAACACTTGTCTAAGGAAGAAGTTGCTCTAGTTCAGAAAAGGTAAAGTTCTCCAGACACCAGAAGCTCTCAGGATTAACATGATGAAGCTTTTTACTGGGGGAAAAGTTTTTAAATTCTACTGCTCTCTAAGTCTCTCTAGCAGTTAGGTTGTTTGGTTTGGGAATTCTCTAAACATGGATCACTGGTGCAAGATCATTTAAAGGGGAAAGGATGATTCCAGCAGATGCTCCCTGTACCTGTGGAAGTTATTTGGAGCAGAGTCAGATGTAAGTTGCCTTTTTATTTTTGTTTGGTTTATGCTTTAATTCCCCCCGGAATCCTGAACGAGTTTATATTGAGACTTTCACTTCCATAAGTGCCTACTTCTGGCACCACTGTATTTGAAATCTCATTTGAACATGAGATGCTACATTAGAGCGGTCGTTTTAAATTACTCAATAAGAACATGCTCTGCCTTCAAGGCATGCACACACAGTAACACTTCAGTGGGAGTTGTATGTCTTCACTGAAAGAAATACACCCCACAGAGATCAAGTTTTTCTTTTGAACATTTTTTTGAAACATAACCGCACACTACTGGTCCTCTGTAAGAGGGATTCTTTGACATCTTTTCTAACATAAACCTTTCTTAAATAATCAAAAAAATACAGTTCCATAGTATTTCACTAATTTTTTGAAAGTTTAAACTCTGTGCTCGCATGACCAGCTTCTGTTTCACATGGAACTAAGAAGATTCATTGCTATTGTCATTAACTCCCTGACTGTAATTTAAACCAAAAACAACCAATTTCCCTAGTTTTAACATTAAGTCTAAAGACATTGGTTTTCTTTTTGATAATTTAGAAGCAACATGTGAACGTGAAGATTTAAGATTTAATGTTGCTGCCACCAACGCAGAAGAAATCAAGCTTTGTGTAGGACTTGCTATTTGCCCCTTCACGGACAAAACTCTCACTGCTTATGCTTACTTATTAAAATAGAAGCAATCAGTGTTCTGAGGAAATGTAGGTAATGAGCATTCAATTAAGTTATGTAGCAGAAGCAGTGTATAACCTACAGAAGCTAGAAGAAGAATCATTGCAAGATACCAAAGACTATTCCTATGGCAGTTTCTATAATTTTATACACTGTTTGTTATGGAAAAAGCCATTGGTGAAATAGCTTGAAATTTTCTTAATAAATTTAGAAGGTCTTAGTCATTCAAAGCTGGAATGCATGGTGCTTCATCTGACCACGAAAGGCTATACAGCAGCAATACAAGGATGCCACTTGGCTTCACAGCACAGCTGGCACATTAAACAGTTATCTGTCTAAATAATATCATTATTATTATACCTTTTTAAAACCTCACCTTCTACTGAAACTACCAGAAAAAAGTAACATTTCGTGTCATTTGGTAGAACAAATCTGCTGTACTCCAGCAGATGGGAACAGCAGCTGATGCACAGACATTACTCAAGTGTCAGTGGATCATCTCTGCTTCTTGCCAGCTCTCATTCATTCTTGCCCTGTGATCAGTCTCAAAAACACCACAAGGAACCTGAACTGTAAACAGTATTCAGAAAATGTCTGTCTACTGAAGTACCTCCTTCCTTACTTAGCTTTATATAATCCTACAGCTCAGTTCCTTCAATTAAACAAAAGAAGTTCTTCTACTTTCCTCTTTAGCTTAAGTAATCAGGGTTGAATTTCATAGGACTGTTTGGGAGCACTCACCCAAATCGTGTTCAAAATAACATACCAAAAATGAAAACACTGCCCAACTCTTCAGGACTATGAGCAATTCTTGGATATGTCACGGGGGTGGAAGGAATATAAAAGGAGAACATGACCTCAAAATAAGAATTTCCCAACAGTCACACTCTTACACACCTGTTTGTAATGCCTGTTCATAGTAAGGGAGAAGGACTTTCACTAGAGATAAGTTGCACTTAAAGCATGTCAGCTTAAGCATCACAAAGTGCCTTTCTCTGATTATTGAAGAGCCAAGCCATTACACGGCCAGCAGAAGGAAACTGAAGCTTCCAGGGAAGACAGAGCTTTGCTATGAAGAGCACAGAAATCAAAACAATGGATTCCAAAACCATATCACAGGTATCTGTTTTAGATACTGCCTTGAAAAATGAAATGATCTGAGATTCTCTTAGCTCCAAGGCTAAGAGAAGACATCGAGCACTACATGGCAACATAGTGGGGTCTCTGACATAGGACTTGGCAATTGGACTTTTTTTGCCTCTGACCTGTGCAATGGCATAATCCGAGCAATTGGTTGCCTGCATGCCCTCGTTGCCACTGATCCCTACTCCAACATGAGCGGTCTGGATCATTCCCACGTCGTTGGCACCATCCCCAATGGCAAGTGTTATGGCATGCACGTGTTTCTTTACCATGTCTACTATTTCAGACTTCTGTAGAGGAGATACTCTGAAAAGGAAACAAAAATGTGTCAGTTTCTCACATGCTGAGTTACGTGCCTTTTCCAAAAGGACAGCTGTCACCTACATTTAGAAATAATCAAAGGGTAGTTGCTGGAAAGTTTCCTTATTTAACAACTAAGCTTCAGAACCTGTGCCAAACCATTTAGAAAGAGAAAGCAGCTTTAAAAATAATTTTGCATTTGCATAAAATATGAGAAAGTAATGATTAAAATAAGACCTAGCAGACATGAAATTTTCAAGCTTTTCTTCCATCCCCCAGTGCCATCAGAGGCACTTTGGTGTAAATCAATGGCATCATAGTGGGAACACTGGAGAAGGGATTTTTCTTTCTGGCACCCACAGCTTACAGATCAGTAGAGCACCTCCATTCAAAAGAAGGAAGACCATAAATAAATCCATCTGAAGTGTTTTCAGTCACTGAGAAAAGATGCTGTAGGCTTACCTTATTCCTTTTTTCAGCTTATTTTCCCTCTTGCAAACCCACTTTTTTGCCCTGACTACTCACTTTGTATCAAAAAAAAAAAAAAAAAAAAGCTTTCTCTCTGATTTCCCATAGATTTTCCATATGTCCTCCTTGCTGGTGCTATACAGGCTTCAGTGATGATGTTAATTCCAATTCAAAAACCAACTGAATACAAAAACAAACCATCAAACACCTGACTACTACCAGGTATTACTCTCATGGGGATTTTCAGCAGTCACATTAATGTGACCCTTCTCTCATTTTTATATCAGTTTCAGTTCGATAAAAATTCATGGAATTCAATGGTGCCTAAACCAGGGAAGTGGAAAAATAAGCAGGACTAGGTCACTAAATTAGATGAGACATCCGAAATGCGTTTTTTTCTATGAAAAAGGTGGATCAGGTTACCAAATCATATGAGGTATTCTGGAAATACCTACATGTAGATTAAATATTTCCATTCTGAGCCCATCTGTACAAACAACTTTAATCCCTTTCCCCATCAGTTTCAGTTAAAATTCCAAATTATTTTTTATTCCCTCAAATAATGCCTTAGACATAACTTTCCACATCTCAAGTCACCCCACATAGCATTGAACAAAATGAATGTAACTGATACCTGAAAGCTTTACTGTGAAAATGGGAGAGAATGGAGAGCCTGGGGAATTGGGAAAATGGAGGCTTTTCATACAGCATTTTTTTCAGAGTCCAGATCCCTTGAGAGCAACTTGCACAGCTTTCACAGAATCACAGAATCATTAAGGTTGGAAAGGACCTCTAAGATCACCAAGTCCAACTGGCCACCTACCACCACGACTGCCACCAAACCATGTCCCTACGTACAACATCTCCCCTTTCCTTAAACTCCTCCAAGGACTGTGACTCCACCACCTTCCTGGGCAGCCCATTCCAATGCCTCACCACTCTTTCTGGGATTTTTCCTAATATCCAACCTGAACCTCCCCTGGTGCAACCTGAGCCCATTCCCTCTCATCCTATCACTGTTACGCAGGACGAGAGGCCAACCCCCACCTCACTACAGCCTCTTTTCAGGCAGTTGTAGAGAGCAATAAGGTCTCTCTCTCTCTCTCTCTATATATATATATATTAAGCTATAGCTGCATCTCCCCTGAGCCTTCTCTTCTCCAGAGAAGAACAAGGCCAGTTTGCATTCATTTAGTTTTCAGTTGTAAGGTGACAGAAATACTCATTAATTGTCAAACAAACCAAATGCCCACATATAAATAAATTTGTGAACTGTTACCTAATGCATACAGAGCATGCTTTTTACCCTCTACATCAAATGAAGCTCTACAATCACAGTTAGGTAACACCCAGTTAAAGACTAACAACTTCAATATACCGAGTAAAAAAGGCAACTAAATGAGCCACAGTAAAAACTAGAAACATGCTTTAAACACCAAAAGTCTTTCTGCATTCTGTTTAAGATGAAATCTAAAATAAGACTTTAGCACAAGGAGTTACCTGATTGCAGTCATTTATTTTAATTAAACTCGTGCTAACAATAATCTCCTTGGTTCTCTCCCCTCTATATCAAGTACACCGTCACCCTCCTGAGAACGTGCTTTGCTGCACAAAGTATAACTACAAAAGTTGTGAACTGAGATGGCTGCTCATTTCCTCGGGGGTTTACACCCCTCCCAACTCACTTTCTGCTCCCAGGCCCCTTCTGCTCCTGGTAATCTGTTTGGTACCAGTGCTGCCCTGGGTGACATTAATCCCCTTTAGCCAGATGATCAGAATGCAGTTCATTTCCCACATTTGATAGGCAGCCTACATGAATAAGAGGAAGATTATAGCGCAGGATACGATTAACCTGAAGCTTCCCTCAGGTGGTATCATGGAAGAGGAGGAGGAAAAGCCAAGTTCACAAAGATTCTTGGACAAATGAGTAAGTTCAAAGTAAAAAGCGCAAGGAAAGAGCCAACTACTTTGGAGAAAAAATTTGCAGAAACATGCAACTCTTGGTAATTATCCTTTTGGTGGAACATCCCTGTCTTTCACTGCAGAGCTTACGGCAGCAATATCGGGATGTAAGCCTTGCCTTGATATATACCCAAATAAGAATTAAGATGTGAGCAAAACATCAGCTGCATCACAATCTTCTGTTTACTCATGCATTACCCAACCATCCAGCAATGTCTCACAGTGTATTTGAAGTGAAACTCAAAAGCATTCACTGCGAGTATTTATGCATAAATTATTTTTATTGTCTCTACTTTCAAAACGAAGATAATCAACTTAGCCTAGACCAGTTCTCTCTTTTAAGCATATTCCTGGGAAAAGAAGTCAGAGTTCAGATACCACGCTTACAGGAGCAGGAAAGCACACTTGTGAGCGTGCTCTTGAAAAGGTAACAGCTGGTATGGAAAATGGAAGGTTCTCCTCAGTCTCAAACCTGCTTGGTCATATCTTTAACAGATTACTACAGAAAGCAATTTGCATCCCAAGTGAGATGGCAGACACCTTGATGTCACATTACTTCCCCCGCTGTGGAATGGGTGAAAGCAATGAGGACACAAAGCATTGTGCCTTGGGAAGGAGCTGGGGGAGAAGCACAGCCCAGAGCCTGGGGCCCTCAGAAAGATGTGGAACTAGTTAACCTCGTGTCACTTAAATCCATAAGGGAACTGTGCAAGAATGTGAAATTCAAGTTTTCAAGTTAAGCGCTCCTGTACCACAGAGAGCAGTGATAACACTGGTGCCCACAGAGCACACTGGAGGTGGCTTTCCTGACTTCTGCAGAGGAGCTCTCAGCAGCTTTAAAACCAACACTGTGCCACTGCCTCCCTGCCTCTGTGAGCAAACATCTTACCCGATATATTTTCTAGCCTATTCAGAAAAAAAAGATCTACTCAGCATTTTGCCAGAAGGTTTGCTCAGCTTTGCTTTAGTTCTTTAAAAAGAGAATTCCAGCAAGGGTTAAGAATTTTCAAGATCTGTATTTTTTTTAAACCAGGAGTACTTCAGGGACAATCAAAGAAGCTCATCAATTCCTATCAATGAAAGATAAATCAAAAAAAGTAAAGTAATAATATTTTCAAAAATAAACATAAAATATTTTGTTTAGGAACAATATTTCTAAAAACTGACAAGTAAAAAGAAAGCACTAAATATCTATTTTAACAAGCAAAGTAATACAGGAGAGTTTTAACTAAATTTTTTAATGTACTGCACCTGCTTTAAACCCATTAATTCCATTTAATCTTTAATTCTATTACTCCACTTTTTGCAATCTGTCAAGGGATGTATTTCTCTTACTCCCAAAGTCCATACAGCTACAAATGCAATGGGCAGGACACAGTCAGCACAACCAGCCCTCTGTCACACAGGTCAGCTCCATGCTCCACACGATACTGCTGATGGGAAGTGAGAAAGAGCTTCTTACCTCAGTCTCTGCACATCTGCACTTACTGGATAGTTATAGGTATGTAAGAGCAATTGATGGCAACTGTGAGAAGTGCTATTTACAAAAGCCCTTAATGCAGATGCCTCAAAGTGTACAGAGAAACCACAGATGGCAAATATAAGTGCAATATTTTAGTACCAATGGGCTTTTGTTTATCGTATTCAAGTCTGAAGGACCAATTGAAGATGAGGTCCTGCTGAAGTCAACAGTATATAAGAAAGACATGATCAATATAGAACAAGATCAGGTAATTTATAAGAGATCACCTTATAATAAAACTGCATTACAAGGTCATCTCCCTCCTGTGCTTGCAGGGCCAGCAGTCCCACAAACTCCTCCACACCCAAGCAAGGCACAGCTTGATGCTGGTTATCTACGCTCTACTCTCCCTTTATGCATTGTTTTTTTTTTTAGACCAAGGAGACTGGAGAAGTTCTGTTGCAAACTGCATATGTCTCCCACCCCTAATTCAATGAAATACATTCTTTTAAAATATTCTTACCATCGCTTAAACTTAATTTGTGAAAGAATAAGGAAGACAGAAGGAAGCTGTTTCAAGTACTACGTCCTCCTGCTTCCATGCTGTAACAGGATTTAACACAGACATCAATGTCTTCAACATGAAACATTAATTTGATATTCTGCTTCCTTGAAATGCTTCATTAATGCAACACAAGAGGCTCTCAAGAGCCTACCTTCATGACACTGAACATGATTTTACCCTGTTCTATCATAAAATGCACTATTACCTCAAAATGCTCAGTGACCTCATCTTCAGTATAGGCAGAGAAGGGAGACAGCCCAGAAAAAGCTGACAGCTATCAATAATATTGACATTTAAGCATATGCACTGATCCTCTGAAAGAGAAGCGTGGTAAATTAATGCACCACTGCAAGTAAGGAATGTTGCCATGACATCATGTTTAGCAGCTTTTAATTAGATATCCATTTCTTCTGACACACGCCAGTGTGCAGATTTCAACCACGTGTCATCCAAAGAAGGGATGGTTTTGAATTACGTCTGTGATGCTGTGAGGCAACTCGCTCTAACCTATAGCGATAGAGAAACCTGTGCAGAAGGATAACGAACAAA